ATGACGACGACGACGATGACGCGAGAACATGATGATGACGACGACGACGACGACGTGAGAACATGATGATGACGACGACGACGCGAGAACATGATGATGACAACGACACGAGAAGTCAGGTACCAGCAGGTTTGCCACCCTGGGCATTGAGCTGGGCCCACTGAATCCGGAGGTGTAGAACATCTGCTTCCACGGCAAAAGCGGCGGCATCCGCTTCATGTAGGCGAATATCTGCCTCTTTAGCCTCCTTCATGTGCTGATGGACTATGGCAGCATCTGCGCGCTCATCCATACGCTCCTCACGCATCATACGATGCTCCTTGTCCTGGCGACTAGCGTTGAGCTTCACCATAAGGCGCTCGTTCTTCAGCTGATATAAGGTTAGCTTGTCAGAATAAATACTTTCCAGGTCGTTGTTGAGCACATCCATCTGCTCACGAATCTCCGTCTGGAGGCGTTTGGAGACTGAACTTGCTGGCGTCGTCGAGACAGATGTTTGCACTGTCGGGGAGGACTGTTCAGATGACGGCTCGTGAGATGATGATGGCTTTCGAGAGTGTGACGACGAGCGCGACCCTGACGATGCCATAGAGCCCGATTTACTCTTTTCACGCATCATCACCTGGCTAACATGAGACTTGAATGTAGCGCGATCATGCTGGATGGAAGTGTGGGGGGGCATCTGTTGCATATGAGAGGTAGTAGTAGGGGAGGGGGGGGAAGGGGGCTCCTGGCGCTTCTTCCCAGCCCTGCGTCTTGGCGGGCTGTTCAGGCTGATAGTGTTGCTGTCGTCGTGTGTAATTTCATCCGGGGAATCCATATTAAGATCCCCCATCTCACCCGCAAGAGGGTTGTCATCATAAATACCATCGAAATTATAATCATCAGTGGGGGAATGAGCGATGGGAGAGTAAGAACCGTCGTGAGATGTAGCACCGGAGGGAAGCAGTGGGAAACGAGAAACAGGGGACCTGGCAGAACTATTGGTGTGAGCGCTTGGGGGCGGTGGCACATAGTTCCATTGCGAAGGGCTACCACCACTGCCTCCAGGAGCAGGGGGAGTGTGACAAAATTGGGGGGAGGTAGGTGGTGCCATGGCCACAGCACCACCTGCATGGGTGTTTGGAGGAAGGCAGCCATAAGTGGGTCCAGTTGAGGACCCAGCAACGCCGCCAGCTAGAGCATTGGGGAGAGGCGTGTTGCCAAGTTCCATGGGAGAGCCGGGATCAGTGCTGGGGGAAGCGGGGGGACGAAGAGAGCCACCCGAAGGACGGGTGAGAGAAAAGAGATCACTCGTGTGATCAACGCCCGGCTTTGATGATGACGTTTTGGCGGAGAATGATGGATGGGAGCCCCAGATGGAGTAGAGCTGATCGTACCAGGGAAAGTCCTTCTCGTATTTACCTACAAATTTAATTAGAAGAATTCGTGTAGGGAGGAGAAGACTCACGATGCAAATTCACGCTTGTCTCTGAATCGATGGGCACTGATGCCTGCACCCGTTGACTCAAATTCAGCACGAATGTCACGAAATTTAGTGCGGAGGCTTTGATCAGATCAGCATTGATGATTATAAAAATAGGGGGGATCACTTACGCCACGATGCGATTATATACAGAGTCCCGAAATTTGTTGGGATTCGACGTGTAGAGCACTGCGTATTGAGGATCGTCAGAGAAAATAACCCTTGCAATGACAGCATGGATTTCATTTTTGTCTTTGCCTGAGGGGCGGCCCTCAGCTTCACAGTTGGCTGGATTCTTCTTTTCACTGGCGAACAGAATGCGGCAATCTGGTGGGTGTCCAATGAGGTAGTCAACCAGCCTATTGGTCCGCTGGGGAACCGCTTGCCAGCTGATAGAAATAGTAGGAGAAGTAGTAGCTCTATCTTTACCTCCTCTGCCGTGTTTTCCCTTTCCCTGTGCAGGAGGAGCTGGTGGTGGCTCCATAAATTTCAGCCCAGTCTTGCAACATCGTGGGGAGATGATTTGAGACTGTATCTGTAGTCGCGCAGAACGACGAAGTCGTGGTCGTAGGGCAGGCATGTCTTTTGGGACTCCGATCGATGCTGGCCCAAGCCATAGTGTAACAAATCTTATTTTTGACCGAGTTTACTGAGCTTTACCGAGCTTAGCGAGCTCTGTGAAATTTACTTTGAACACCATTAATATCAGGTCTCTGACCCTGCATAGATGTGAACAATTGAGGTGACGAGAACAATTATCACCTGGCCAATCTGCATCAGCAAAAGACCTTGAAATTTCGCTTGTCAGAAAGAAGTTTGATGCTTACGGTGAGCTTACGGTGTTGGTGATCGAGCAAAGCGATTGGTGGAACAAACTTATCCATAGTAAAATGTAAATCAAATAATGCAGGTAGCGTTAAGTGGGTAAAATGGGTTGGAAATAACGATATTATATTGAGATTACTATTTGGAACCCTAGACTAGGGCCATTTATAACCAGCAGTGATGACCGTTGTAAAACTTTGTAACAATTGTGCATGGATTTGAGATCATTGTCTGTGTTGTGACTACTACTACTACTACTACTACTACTAGTATGAGGTACTGATACTGCGTCTATGTGAACTCCGTGCTGAATGTATGATAGCTCTCCTTATCCGCGAAACTGTTAAGAAAAAACCGGTCATAGCTCTCCAAACAAGTGGCCGAAGAAATCTTTGCATCTACCTTGTTACCATATTCTGGTATCAATTTGACAGCATGTGTTACATCCGTCAATGATATCACGCCACCACACCTACAACGTTTGCCATGTTGGTCTATCGTGTATGTGCGCTCTACTGTCCACATTGCAAGTTCCGGACGGTCACTGGGATTAGTGACAAAGTGAAAGAATTGGACGTAGAGGAGTGGACTGGAGAGGAACGTTGGCAACACCAAGTCAGAAGTCCGTGGAATCTTCGGCTGAAAAATAAGTCAGACTTGTGCAACACGACTGGCTGAAAAACATCTTGAATTAGATCTGAAACACAACTGCAAGAATAAACTTACTACTTTGGCCACCATCATCCGTGACATTGATTAGGACAGTGTCACAGTTTCCAAGGGGGAATGCATCACTTGGTGGGTATGCTTGTATCACTCTGCTTGGCATGATGACTTGTGGCTGGAAAGCAGAGTGAAGCTGTAGTCGAAATTTGTTCCATGCGCAAAAGTGTCCGTATTTGTGGTCCCAGTGGGTATGCTCGCCGGTGAGGAGGGATAGCTGATTGATAAACTGAGAGAGTGTGTGACCGAAATTAACAAGTGAATATTTGGTTTCAATAGCGATGGGTGTCAGAGCCTTGTAATCTGGCGTCGAAGTCAGATGGAAAGCAGTGTGAGCATCTCCAGAAAGAATGCCCTTGAGAAAATGATTCCAAACTGGCCGAGGTCCATGAACAGAATGTGCTTCATCAGGGAGAACATGAGAAACCCAGGAAAGTGCTGGATTAACAGTTGTCACTTCCTCATCTTCCATACATATGGCATTGACGAGTGACGCGCCACGAGAATAGAATAACGCATACAAGTTGAATAACTCCATTGACTCCTGGCGGTTGAGGATCCGTATGCACTGCTCTGTAAAATCGGTGGATCGCCAGTTTGTGCGCCCAAAGAGATGCTTGCAGTGTGTGATGAGTAAGCGCTCTGTCATGTCAGCTGAAAACTGCATCAAAGTGCCCAGTCTCTCAACTGTGCCTCCAAAGCTTTGCAATAGCTCGAGTTTCAGGATAAAAAAATCTTCTTTAACGCCTTTCTTTCCCCTCCTTGCCTCAGCATTGACAATAGCATCCTTGAACACATGAAAATCTGAAAGTGCTTGCGCCATTGACTGTAGGGAATCAGGAGAATGAACTGGATTCTGCGAAAGATAGATGAACTCCACAAGGGCGCGAATGGCACGAATGAATTTGGGTGGAGCAACACCTGCGATTGAAGCGACAATGGTGCATTGGATATCTCGGTGCTCCCGTCCTGTCATTTGGTTGACATGGGTGACACCTTTGGTGAAGTGATGTGTTCCCACCCGCTTATGCTGAACCATGAAGCGAGCATCGAGCTCAGGTTTCCCTACTGTCTCCTTGATCCAATTGAGCGGATGATCTGCAAAAAACTTGATGCAGGTATGTAAAACTTCACCAGTGAGAAAGACAGACGGGCATGCGAACATCCAATCGCGCCAATACGGCATGTGAACTCCCGACAGATGGACTGCTTTTGCTGCCTTCTGGAATTTATTGAGATCCCAAGGATCAGCCTCCTGGGAGATCTCATAGATGAGTTGCAGCGTGTGTTGCCCAGTATGAGGAGGATGGAGGACTCCATCACCAAAATTTGCCTGTGTCGCCATAGTTATGAGAGATGCGTTTTTACTGATGGTAGCGATCATGGTAGCCTCTGGGAGGTCACATACATGAGTGATGAGAGGTGTAAAGACATAACAAATGTATTGGGAAGGATCAGGCATAAAACAACCATTTTTTGCTGCAATCTTGAGATTGGCGCAGACAAGATCAACACATTTATGCCACAGACGTGCTTGCAGAATGCTCTGATAATCAGGATGCACATGAAACTTGGCGATGGGCATGTAAGCAATACACCGCCAAGCTCGTAGTGTAGCCTTGGAGCGAACTTCTGAATCGAGGTTGCCAATCGTAATGAAGAGTGGGTGCATCTCAAGCCCTCCGGTAGTGCGCGTCACAGGTGTTTTATCTGATCCCAGGATGATCGGTACTTGTGTAGCACCTACTGGGAGATGGTCCTAGGAACATGGCATCAATTTTTGAATAGTAGACTGATGGATAAAACTGACCTGAATTTTCCATGCCATATTGGCGCTCATATAATCCCCATATTCACGCTGACCCCCAACGTCAACAACATGTGGCTGAAAAGTAATGTGATTGGCAAAAATGGGATCGCCAAAGAGCTGTTTGACAACTTCGAGAGCATCATGCCAGATGAGTTGCAAAGGATAGGTTGTCTTGTAGCCTGTAAACTCCATGGTCGAGACTTTCCACGGCACAAAAGAGGGGAGTGCGTCAATCCAGTCGAGAAGTTGATCTTTTGATGTGAAAGATGGTCTTGGGCGGGTGTGAAACTGTAAACATAGAGTTAGACCTGTCAAATAGGGCTCCAAGTCTCCTACCCATTTCAGCTTCAAAAACTTGTCAATCTGAGTTTGAGTGAGGTTTTCAACTAGAAACCTCGCCAATTCCCACTCCCCTTCATCATGAAAAGGGTAATATGTATTTATTTTCCTGCAATAATCATATTGATCCTCTTGCAACCTGTCGAATAAGTTTTTGCCAACACCAAAGACATACCCAGATCGAGGATGATGATAACCAGTAGCGGAGGATGTCGATGAATGAGAACCTCACAATCCAGGTGGAATTGGAAATTGATGTGGATGTGATTCGTGTGGCCAACAGGTAGATGGAGAATCAAGATGGAGAATGATTGCCTTGATGGAAAAGAACTCCTCACTGCAGTTGGGACACAGCCTGGTATATGTTAGTCTATGTAATAATAAAGTGATAAAGATACTTGCATCAAATAGTTAACCGGATTGCTAAGTCTTGACTAGGCCTTTCCTTGTGAGCTTTGCTGACGCTTGCTGGCAGTAACGTTTTTGAGACTCCGCAGACTGTGCATTCGCAGGGTATTGTACTGATAACAGCTTATACTATTAGCAGGTTTCCTCTATATATCAGTAGGTTTCTTCCATCGTCAAGTTCAAAGTGCTTACAGATGTCTTCTCCATCTCGTTCTCAGCCCAGTAGTCCCCCCCAAGTCTCATCTCCTCCTCCCCCTAGCAGTTCACCTGGCCCTCCAAGTCCATTAAATAGCCCCACATCTTCTCCTCTATCCAGCGGACATGCCACCACTCCTGAACCATCTCTTTTTTATTCTAGCTCCAAGTCAGGGAGCTCTCCCAACACTATGAATTCTGACTTGTGCACTTCACCACTAAGCACAAGGCTGGAAAAGACACTTGGGACTTCGGCTAAGGAGACGGATAGCATATTTTTTGATCCGTCTAAATCTCCAAACCCTCTGATGTGCTGCACGACGGCAGTTCATACACAACAGAATGATGAGGAAGCAGTGTCCATATCCCGTATATCCAGCTCCAATAGAGGTTCGTTATGCAGCTCGTGTCATGGGGCAAGAGCGCAACCCATGTGCATCATTTGAAACATTTCTTCAGGTACAATCTATTTTTTCTACTGGATTACAGGGACTGATTTTTATATTGAAAAAGCATATTGGATACTTGGAAAATGGCCTTGCGCAACTGCGTTCTTCAACCCTGTACAAAGGCTATAAAGCCAAGCTTGCTGCCCGTGAGACTGCACGCCAACGCCTTGTGGTGACTGCATGGGAAATTGAAGAAACAGAGCGCTTCACTGCATTCCTTGATGCCCTGCATACCGAGAATGAAGAACGACTTGGATTTGCAGACAAGGAGTTGCAGAGCTTTAGGAAGATTTTTTCTGAGCGTGACTGCATGGAAGTTGATGATGATAGAGATTACCTTCAAGCCATCTATGAAGATGAATGCGAAATCCTTCGTGTTACCTCAGCCCAAGCTGAACAGATCTCAAAGATCTTAGGTTCACGAACCAAAGACGCATTCTTACAATCCGGACCTGTGGACTCGCGATCCCGGTTCCCCAGTCTTGAGATTCACGATGATGATGATATTGTTCTAGACTCTTCTTTGGACCTGGATTCCGAAGAAGAGTGTCTTGGGGCACCGGTGGGGGCTGGTGAAGCGCCTGATGATGTGACTACTAGTACCACCATGTGAACTTGATCGGTGGCTATTCAGCTGCATGCCCTTCCAATCGCGGTATGTGAAACAGATTTTTGTATTCAATGTACGACACTGATCAATCAATAAGAGGACATGTAATATTACATGCTGCTCGTGTTACTGTTTCATTACGATGGCGACCCCCCAGATTGTATTGGTTTGTCACTTGCATGCTTTACTTTTACATTGTACCCCTTCATCTTACCCTTCTCCAGTGTCTTCTGATTGACACATATCTTGTTTAAGTATGGTTTGTAGTAGAATGCTATGCGGATATTTATCTGTACCCTGCGCCCTTATTGCGCCCTTACTACTCGAGTCCTCCCTGCATATGCCTGTAAAACGTGCTAAAGGTAAAACAACGATACCAAAACCCACTCGCAGGTCTGGTCTGAATCCCTCACACGTCCCAGCGGACACTCAGATGCGTCTCAGCGACGAACAACCCCATGAACCAATGGCAAACACTTTCAATCCACATGAGGGGTTCAGCTCAAGGTGTGTGCTTTTCTGTCTTGACAGCTACCACTGATTTGTGCACCTACTAGCACTCGTTACAACAACTACAATTCCTTCAGTGCACATGCTGCCAGCGGTTATGCGCTGTCGTTCCACCCTGCTCACACGTTTGACACTCACGCGGGTCCATCAAGCGCTCACGTTGCATCATCAAGTACTCGCCCTCAGGCTGATGCATCTTTAAGCGCTCCCGCTGAGTCATCGAGCGCTCATACTAATCCATTATCAAGCGCTCACACTCATCCATCATCGAGCGCTGATATGGATCACACATTCCCCAACCCCGATTATAACATTTACAACAATACAGTGCCTAGTACCGACCCTGCCTATCAATCCCTACCAAACCCCAACCACGACATTCCACCGTATGGACCGTCGGCATTCAATTATGAGAGTTATGGATCATTTGAGGGTAAGTCACTTGATCATCAATGAGACATTGTCACTGATCATTTTCACAGGCTCATACAGTCCCAGGCGTCTCGAGCATCTTTCCAATTTCGACAACATGCAAGCACCTAACCCGCACCACGTACAAATTCCTCAACTGTTTGACCACGATGAAGAGGAACCATCAGAGCCTCGAGATGCTCTTCTCCCCGTCACAACGGGTGAGATACCACATTCACAAGTTATACATGTAAGTTTCAAGTATATTTTGTTTATTTCTCTCAAACTCTATTATAGACAACAGGACCCACATGATCGTCCAACAGACGACAACGTACTCAACAATTACCTGGAACACCACATTTTACTCACGAGAGCCCCATTGTTCCTGCAACAACACAGGCTGACGTCACTGCAACAATGCAGGCAACTCCGAGTGCAACTCCGAGCCATGCAGGAGCCTCGGGTGACAACCATCATTTCCAGGTTACAGGACCCATCCGCAATCAGATCTTCAAGTGCTCCAAAGAACTTGTCATGGGCATCGCCCTCACAAAGGACGCGATGGCCTCATCTACGGCCGACAAGAAATGTATCATCAAGTCTATCATTCGAAAGGCGACACCCAAGATTCCAGGGCTTCAGGGTATGATCATTTTTTTAATACTTTTATAACTAATGGACCAACAGGAATACCACGCTGGGAGAATCAAACCAAGGACCTTGCAACAATCTGGCGAGCGGTAATTGTCATGCACACGGCAGTTACGACCCTCACTCGAGAAGGCGTCATAATGGCCTACGGACTTTTCCCTCCACAGGGTAGTCCAATCTCCCCCAAGACCTTCCACATGGATCGCGTGAGACACCTCATTTGAAACAACGTGTTCATGCACGAATATTTGTTTAATGCGGTATGGTCTTCATTTCACTTTCAATCACATGTTGAGTTGTCGACAGGATGGGACACTGACAATTCACTCCAAGTTCAAAAATCACTTCATCCTTCACCTTGTCATGAGAATGGTATGGAATATGTGCTTCCAACTCAACATTTTGCTTGTCTCGCCACACAGACAGCTGCACTTTGCGATGGGACTGGCCGGCGCAATAATGAAACGTGTGCTGGCAGAACAAGCACACCTGATACTCACTGCACCTAAGTCGTCCCCAGACACAGATGCTTTTACCTTCGAAATGATCTGTTCGGGTATGGATGATCTCACTGATGAGGAGAAAGTCGACTTGGATGGGTGGAAGGATCATATGGTCATTTGTGGGACGTCTCAACAGCGCAAGAATGAGCTCTCCGATTTCGACTTGGACTCAAACTCGGATATCGCGTGACATGTATTATAAATCACGATACTCGTATCATTAATCACGATACTTGTATTATTAGTAGATCTGTTGTATATACATTGAAAATACGGCTCTTTACCTCACGAAATGCATTATATTTATTACTCAAGCACATCGGGCTTGAGACAAATGTTCAATTAAACCAAGACGAGTGTTTACAAACACCGCCCTGAGCTACACCAAATAGGCTTGTTCAGAACAAGTTCAGAACTTGTGTCGACCGACTTGTGTTTTTTTAGATGTGATCTATGTAGTACCCCAACGATAGCGGTTTTCAAAGTTGACTTCGTAGAATTTTGGAAGGTCAGAAATTTGCACATTGCCGGTAGTATTGAAGCTCCGATGCTGACAAACAAACCCTAAGCTTTCAAGCTGTACCATCTGCTATAGCATTCTGCAGCTCCATCAATATGCCCTGTGAATCAGATTGAAAGAAGCTGCTTCGCAGCCTCAAACAAACCAGAAATGACCTTACCATCACGCAATATATGGAACTAATCGAGTTTATGATAGATCAACTACTAGATGAAGACAACGATGAAGACGATGATAAGGAATCTGACAATGCTGTCAATGGCCATAGTGGCTCGGATATTAGTATATGGTCCACATCACCAACATGGCCAACGTCCCCAGTGTCCCCCACATCGTCGATCGCGTCTGCCTTGTCAAACAACTCTCTGACGTCACTCTCCACAGCGTACTCCGAATTCCTATCGCACGATATCCCAGATATGTGCGAATGAGTCTTTACTCAGTTTGCCGATGCAATCACTGCACTGCACGACGAGGTAGAGAAATGTCGAGTCCTTGATGTCCATCCATCTCTAAGTCGCGCACCTCAGCTACACTTGCTGGAGGAGTGGGCTCTATTCTCACCTGAAAAATTCCGTCGCAAGCTCCGTGTTGATGCAGACGTGTTTGATGAACTTACGAAGTTGATTCAAGGACATGCCATCTTCTACAACAATTCAAATAACCCCCAGCTCCCTGTCCCAATACAGCTCGCCATTTTTCTCAATGGCGCTGGCCATTATGGCAATGCCGCAACCACTGAAGACATCTCTGACTGGGCTGGAGTGTCCGTGGGGACCGTCTACAACTGCTACAAACAGGTGATGATCACAATCCTTCAACTTCATGACCGGGCCATTCATTTTGATCCGCTTGATCACGAGGATCAAATTGAGCGAGAGCAGGCGAAAACTTATGTTGAAAGTAAGACATGTCATGAATGGCGTGGAGGCTTTCTTTCTGTAGATGGGACTCCATCCCCCTTACATGAGAAGCCAGGTTGGCACGGGGAGGGTTTCTTCGACAAGAACTCAGACTATTCTCTAACAGCGCAGGTAAGTGTTGGTTCGATGTGCGGCATGGTGACTTACCATCAAAAAGGTCGTTATATTCCCTCATAATCTTCGTATCGTGGACTACGTCATTGGCGTACCTGGAAGTCTCCACGACTCAAACATATTTGCACGGACAAGAGTTTCCTGGGATCCCGAGTTGTTTTTCGGTGCAGGAGAGTGGCTGTGGGCGGATTCAGTGTACGCTGCGTGAACCTGGTGTGTGCCGCCGTATAAACGGCCAGTGGGAGGGAGTTTGACGCTAGACCAAAAGATGTTCAACTATAACCTATCAACAGTGAGTATGAATGGCAATATACATTCATAGTACTTACCCAACGTCTAGGTCTGTGTTCGTTCAGAGCATTTTTTTCGGCTCTATCAAGGGCCGGTTCCAATCACTGCGGGAGCTTCGCATCCCAATCCAAAGTCAGAAGGACCTCAACTATGCAAACATGTGGATCCGTTCGTGCTTTGTTCTGCACAATCTAATCGTCGAAATGGAAGAAAAAACACACCATGAAGACACGAACGTCTGTTTCTATCAGCAAACTCGGAGGTTGAGGCGGGCTGATGGTGATGCAGGAGAGGATGATCAGCAAGGGGGTGGTGCAGTAGGTGATCAGACTTACATTGGAACTGCAGGGCAGGATTTTCGCAACGTGTTAAAGGCGCGGTTGCTTTCCTCATTGGAGCGAATAGCAACACATTAAAGATGTGTTTGTCAAGTAGAAGTTCTTCGTCCTCCTTAGCACCTAACCTTTGTCAAGTAGAAGTTCTTCGTCCTCTTTAGTACCCAACGAGGGAAATTTGCACTTGAGCTCAAAGTGCTTATCCCAAACCTGTAGTGTTTGCTGTGTGTAGTCATGCTTGAGATCGAGTACAAAATGGCATGCATTTCCGAGTCCTAAAAACGAGTCACATGATGACACAGTACAGACCTACTTCAGTTTTGATCAGAACCACGCTCCATAGCAATACGACAAATCCGAGCCTCCTCCTCTTCTCGACGTGCATGAGATAGCTCAAGCTCGAGTCTTGCAAACTCGATTTGTTGAGTCATCCTCTCCTGCTGGTGGAGATGGTCTTGTTCCGCAAGACGCATCACATGTTCCCGCTCATCATGAGCACTGCGGGCCTTGAGATCATGAGCCCAAATGTCGCCCTGAAGTTTCATACCTTTGTAGCTTTCGTGCTCAACACGACCCTCACGTTTGCTCTCAAGGTGCTTCATTAGAGAGTCTGCCGTTTGGGACATTTTTTCTGCAGCGGCAGAGGTCTGGTCAAGAGCACTGCTGCCAGGGCGTTTGCATGATGAAGAGGGGGGACGACTAAACTGAGGTGATGCACTTCGAGTAGGTGGACAAGACCGTTTTGTAGCAAGAGAAGGTGAACTTTCACGACTTCCCTTAAGCGAGCTGACATGGAGAGACCGCAGTGCTCGGCTGGCACCAATATCCGAGTCTTCTGAGTCGATAGGCATAGACTGATAGCTAGGTGAAGATTCCCTAAAATCAGAAAAAACAGACAATGGATTATCGGGGGCACTGCGATTGGGTACTGGCGAGCGCTCAGGAGAGTTCAACAATACCACTCCAAGTGCGTCAGAAGTTGAGATGGGAGGGAGCTGAGATCATTGGAACCAGTGTGGCAATGGAGGCAGTGAGAATGAGTCAGGTGTGTTGCTAGGACCACGGTCCAAAGGTACAAGCGATGATGATGCTGATGATTGTGATTCTATGCGGGGGGGCTGGTCGACTATCATTTCATCTGCCACATCGACAACGGCACCATCGTCCACACTGCGAGTATCGACCTCGACTATGTCTCCATCATCATCCATGCGAGCATTGTTGTCAACTGTAGCCGGTGGTTGTGGGTGCTTGGAAATATTGAAATGTTCCAATGCAGCAGATGCAGAATCTTGCCCTGCGTCCGCAGTAGAGAAGGCATGATTGAAGGCTGGATTTGTCCGCCACCAGCCATGAAGCTCAGGCCACCAGGGAAATTTTTCGAGCTTTGTATCTGATGGAGACATGGTTCAGACAGGCGCAGATCAACAGCAGCTGAAACTTACCGATCAAAGACTTGATCTTTGGATCTTCTTGCAGCTCCGCATATGTCTTTCCTGCTCCCGACTGTTTGAGGTCCTTGTTAAATTCATTGTATTTTTTCCTCAGTCTGAGACATCTGATCAGTGATTCCAGTGGGAAGATGGATGACACAGGAACTAGATACTTACGTGCTGAAACTGGTTGAAACTGGTTTTATGAATGCCTTGGGGTCCTCCTTGAAGAGTCGTTGAACCTCCAGATCCTCGTCGTTCGAAAATACAGCTTGTGCGACCTGTGAATACACAACATCTCTTGAAGTACCACTCTGCTTCTTCTTCCAACCTTGCTCCTTGGCATCCTTTACAGAATCAGAGAAAAGCTTGATGTGTGCAGTCTTCATTTTCCTTGCACCAGGCAAGTAGGCGTTCAGTACGAGCACTACGGACCCCCTCCCAATGGATAGTACACTTCTTTGAGGTGTCCGTACCAGCAGATGTATTGGTTCGACCTCTTTGATTGGATCGTGACATGATCCAGGATATTCCTACTGACAGCGATTAAGAATCAGATTAAAGCTTTAGCAGCGTCGACACCAGCAGCAACGATGTTGAGCACGCTGGCAGGGCAGGTCGGAGTTCAAAACCTGCCGTATCGGCAGCATCCGAATTCACCATGATTTTTTTCAAGGTTCGACTTTGAGAACCGCTGATGATGTGAATTATGTGAAGCTAAAGGAACAGGAAATTCGAATTATCACATGGGTATTACGCAAGACGGGATACACGATTTCATAACGATATTCTGAATGACACTACCTATTCGTACACTTCCACCCAATATTCAGTCCGAGTCATTCAAGTAGCACACGAATATTGATTGTTTAAGCATATCCACTTTTTCCAGGGACAACTCCGAATGCGGGACCCCCCTTCGCGAACATCTTTCGCACATCTTCAGTAAGCTCTTCCGGCCGTTCATAGGCAGCAAAATGGCCTCCTGACTTATGATGGGACTCGATCACAACGTTATTCAACCTGCGTAGCCATCTATGATCTCATGTCAGTTTCGTGGCAGCAGAGCTGATTGATAGAACGCACGCCGAGGGTAAGAGTAGGAGCTCCTGTGGGAAATATGATGCTCCCATAGGAACAGTGGGGTAACTAGTACGACCCAAGTTGTAAAAATCGCCAGCCACCTCGGAGTAAATGCGATGGGCAGCACCGGGACCAGCACGGGAGAACCAGTATATGGAGATCCATGTCAGCGCTGTTTTAAAAGTAGGTGAGTATGGTATTGGGAAGTGTGACTGACTGCTGCTACCTTCGTCATCAGTCCATTTGTAGTCGTCAGTCCAGATGACCAATTTCTCGTAAAACCAACCAAGCAGTGCAACAGGGCTATCCGTAAAACCGTAAGCGAGTGTCTGTGGGAAGGTGCTCTGCTCAACAAAGTAGCCGGAAGATTTGTTGCGATACCACGCAGTGCGCTCAAGTCCCGCCTTCTCTTCTGCGGAATAAGGGGTTAGCAAGTACGACAAGAAAGACAGGGGCGATTTCCAAGTCGGTGGGTCGGCCCTAGTTAAAGATGAGTTGAGTTGATGGGCGAGCAGTGACCGAGAAAAGGACATACATCGGAAAATTGGTGTGCCATGCCTTGACATGCTTTCCACCATACTTAGCAGCCATCCTCCGAGTGATCTGAGTATATTAACGATAAATTATGTCTATTTGTGAAATGCCGCTCACGAGGAAACCCCAGTCGCCTCCCTCGGTCACTGCCAGAAAATGAGCAAATCCACTGTAGAAGATAATGGCAACGGTGACGTGCCATACTCGTTGTACCCGAGAGCAATCATGAGTTTGTGGGTTACCTATATACCTTGGTCAATATTTTAAGAGCTTAGGATGTGCGATGAACAATGACTACCTCAGCATATTGATCAAGACCAAAGCCAGGTTTGTGAGCACCCTCCGAAAAGCCAAAACCAGGCAAACTAAGCGCCACAACATGGAAACTAGGATGTTTAGGGGACGACGCAGTCAAGAGGGATAACATTCCCCTGATTTCTATAAAACTTCCGGGCCCTGGCTAGTGTAAGAAATATGTCGGTGGGCGTGGATAAGACCTTACATCCATGACAAAACAACAGCGGAATGGCGTCAACAGTTTCGCTCTTCTTGTGAACATAGTGAATGTTCAGCGCGCCGAAACCATCCACGTCGATGTCGCGGGTGAACATCGGCAGCTCTTGGTTCAATTCCTTTTCATATTTGCGCCAGTCGTACCCGTTTTTCCACCTCTCCACGAGCCGTTTCATATCCGCCAAAGGTGGGCCGTGCCTCCAGCCGATATCCTGAAGTTCATCCGGGAAAGTGGCGAGCTCAAGTTTAGCTCGAAGGATACTGAGTTTCTTGTCAGGGATGTTGATTTGAAAGGGGGTTTCGGATGGCATGATGGTCGAAGTGCGAGTAAGGGAGTTACTAGTACATCCTGGTGCATCCTGTGGTTTAATAGCTGCACGAAGAAGAGCCAACCTTTTGTTTCGTCTGGTGGGAAACGTCTATCCGAGAGTTATCTCTTGTGTCGTCATTTTGGCCCATATTAAAATAACAATGCGGTAATCCTATCTTTGACAGTACTTCTATAAGACACCGTGCACCTTGCGCTTTCCTTTTTATTGATATAAGGGCCTTCAGCCAGGATATATGAGATTAGGACATGACCGGGTGTCGTGACGGGATTTTTTTGTATACAATGTTGGGGAAGTCGGCGCACAAGCGAGAGACTCGGAGCGGTATAGAGTTGTTCGTGCGCAAACAGGTCCGAGTATGAGTCGAGAGCTGTGCGAAAGAGAACGCAGCTGACCCCAGATGGCGTGCACCTGTTGTGTGTCGACGATCTCGGAGGCTGATGTGCGGGGAGGAAGCCTGTGGGAACGTCAGTGTTCAATACAAACCAGGGGTGAGGACCCCATCCCTACAATTGATAGTATGCGCTTCTCTGTATCGATACCGCACCGTGACAGGCTTCCCTGTATCAATACTCATGCCAGAACTGCAAAGCACTTCTCAGGTATCACCAACTATCCTTTCCAGGATGTACCTTAATTCCTGTTATACTTCTGCGCTTCTCGAGAAACAATCACGGCCAAGCGTTCCTTAGCCATCCTATTTGTGAACCTTCTCCTGTCTAAACATATCGCATACCTGTGGTTCCATATATCGACCCATTCCCGAACGAGTCAGTATTAGGCATACTTCCCCTGCTTCTCGCCGTGTATCAATACAGTGGCATGTGCTGTTGGTGATCCAAACTTCACGAGCCTCGATTGGATGGCAAGGCTGCGGTAGCCTGCTCCAGATGCAAGATGAGTGAATGTGTCTCAGGTTGAAGATGGTATACTTACAACGAAACAACAGGACAGAAACTGTGAGACTTAGCTACAGAATATATTTGGGACGTACGGCTCAAACGTGGGTCAAGCTGAAACTCTCTACTAGCTCACAAATTCTAGTAATGTATAGCGCCCTAGCGCTGGTCAGTTAATGACGAGTGGCTGCTAAGTACAGTATTACATACAGTACATGTACAGCCCGATGTTGGCGTTGATATGTATCGTGTTAAGAGCATGACCACAACAATGCACAGTGCATTGAAAAGATCAAGATATCGAACCTAGCAGGTAAGAAATGAAACGCGTTCAGACACCACATGACGGAATATCTCAGTCATTGCACCTAGTTATTATACTCATCTCATCTGCGTTGAGATTGCCTCTCAGGCTGTGGTATTTATCTTCGTCCAGTGCACTAGAAACGGTAGTACTGGGTTAGCGATCAACGAATAAATTTTATGCCCCACCCCAGAGCAGCTATTACATCTTACTGGCTAGATCCGCTATTGCTCGCGAGATATATTGTGATGAACGTTCAAGGATAGTAGCCTAGAGAAGATGTGAAGGTTCATCGAGTTTCATCAGCGCCGCGCCGCTGCCAGAGAACTTGTTCTAAACCTTTTATTAGCACCACGTGCAGTAAAAGCTTCGGACGGGACAAGACTTGCTGTGAGACAGGAAGGTTGGTCGTAATCAGCAACGAAGATTTAGCACACACAATATCGCTGATAACAACGCGGTCCGAAGCAAAAAAAAACCGAGGTCCAAACTCCAGAAGCCACGAACTTGACAAAGATGTGAAAATCACGTACTCACTGGGCCCCGAGTCGCTTATAGCGAGGAAATGATAAGTCTTTTATTTACCCCGCATGCGGAGTTGGGAACAATTGAGGTGACGAGAACAAGGATCATCTGGCCAACTTGATCTGCCTCACGAGGATGATTGTCGATGTCGAAGAGTTGCGTTGACTCAGAAGCTCAGACGAGTCGTGATCATTCACGCATATCCGTAAAAGGCAACAGGACTTCGTACACCGCCAAAAATGTTTAGACTCAAGTTCAACAGGACTTACAAACGCCCGCTCACCCAGGCTAGACCGTCACATCAAATGTTACCTTCCAGATGCCCAGGTCATGAGAAAATACAGTCATTGCTTCACCTATGGCCGCCCATACTATGATTCCTTCGATCCTGCGGACCCAGATGCGGACCGGTCGAGCCTATCATAGTCACAATGGTAAAACTTGACTGCTGTACGTGAAGTAGTTCCCTGGTTGTCCTTGGACGAGACAGCAATATTTACTCACCATATGTGTCACAGATCTTTCCCGCTATAGAAGGATTTTCTTTTGCAATACCGGGACCTGGTGGTCGCTCGATTGTAGACAGGCCTGCGCGCCTTCACTCATTCACTCATTGATGGCATCAACGAGGACTCGGGAGTCGGACACTTACTGTCAACGCCCCTCCCTGGCTCAAACATCGAAGACACAATCCACTTTCTATTTCAGCCTAAAATCCAGTACGATGCAAATGCATGTCTCGATTATGCCATTCACTCACGGGTCACTGCTCAATGTCTCCGTGGACGATTTCAATGCCGACATTCTTGAAAAAGTTGACGGTGATTATAGTGCATATTTGCATTTATCGGATCTGTGGATATACCATGAAATTCATGGCATTCTCCGACTTATGTTCACCTTTCGCCCTAGATACTCCATGTACAATATATCGAAAGCAACCTTGAGCTTATGCGACTACCTTCATGCGAGAGTCAGAACTCGCTGTCTTTCGGGTTCTCGATCGATGTTCGGACGTATTGGCGCATGGACAACTCTGCACCGTCATATCGCTTGTGCGCCAACTTCCCTGACATCATATACAAAAATTTCCCGTCACAACGCGCAGACATGTCCTAATCTTATAAGTCCTGGCTGAAGGCCCTCGCTTGTGTCAATAAAAAGGAAAGCACAAGGTGCACGGTGTCTTATGGAAGTACTGGCAAAGATACAACATGTTCTATTGATTGGCGCATTTTATTTAAAGATGGTCTAGAATGAAGACACAAGAGATAGGTCTCGGATAGACGTTTCCCACCAGACGAAACAAAAGGTTTGCTCTTCTTTCTGCAGCTATTAAACCACAGGATGTACCCTGAACTAACACTCTCATTCGCACTTCAACCACCATGCCATCTGAAACCCCCTTTCAAATCAACATCCCAGACGAGAAACTCAGGATTCTTCGTGCTAAACTTGAGCTCGCCACTTTCCCTAATGAACTCCAGGGCATCGGATGGAACCATGGCCCACCTTTGGCGGATATGAAGCGCCTCGTGGAGAGGTGGAAAAACGGGTACGACTGGCGCAAATATGAAAAGGAATTGAACCAAGAGCTACCAATGTTCATCCGCGACATCGACGTGGATGGTTTCGGCGCGCTGAACATTCACTATGTTCACAAGAAGAGCGAAACTGTTGACGCCATTCCGCTGTTGTTTTGTCATGGATGTAAGGTCTTATCCACGCCCACCGATATATTTCTTACACTAGCCAGGGCCTGGAAGTTTCATAGAAATTAGGGAGATTTTGTCCCTCTTGACTGCGTCGTCCCCTAAACATCCTAGCTTCCACGTTGTGGCGCTTAGTTTGCCTGGTTTTGGCTTTTCGGAGGGTGCTCACAAACCAGGCTTTGGTCTTGATCAATATGCTGAGGTAGTCATTGTTCATCGCACATCCTAAGCTCTCGAAATGTTGACTGGTGTATCTAGGTAACTCACAAACTTATGGTTTCTCTCGGGTACAACGAGTATGGTATATCGCTATTCCAATTATCTTCTACAAGGGATTGCTCATTTTCTGGCAGTGACCCAGGGAGGTGACTGGGGTTTCGTCGTAAGTGACTCTTCACAAGTAGACAAGATTTATCGTTGATATACTTTCAGGTCACTCGGAGAATGGCTGCTAAGTATGGTGGAAAGCATGTCAAGGCATGGCACACTAACTTTCCGATGTATGTCATTTTCCCGCTCACTGCTCGCCCATCAACTTATCTTATGTTCAACCAGGGCCGACCCACCGACCTGGAAATCGCCCCTGTCTTTCTTGTCGTACTTGCTAAACCCCTATTCCGCCGAGGAAAAGGCAGGATTTGAACGCACCGCGTGGTATCGCAACAAAGGATCCGGCTACTTTGTTGAGCAGAGATCCTTCCCGCAGACACTCGCTTACAGTCTTACCGATAGCCCTGTTGCTCTGCTTGCTTGGATTTATGAAAAACTGGTTACCTGGACTGACGACTATAAATGGACCGATGACCAAGGTAGCAGCAGTCCCACTTCCTAGTATAATACTCACCTACTTTTGAACAGTTCTTACGTGGATCTCCATATACTGGTTCTCCCGTGCTGGTCCCGGCGCTGCACATCGCATTTACTCCGAGGTGTATAGCGATTTCTACGATATAGGTCGTACCAGTTACCCCACCATTCCTTTGGGAGTATCGTATTACCCCAAAGAGCTCCTGGTCTTCCCCTCAGCGTGTGTTCTATCGATTAGTTTTGCTGCCACGAAGCTAACATGAAATCGCAGGTGGTTCCGCAGGGTGAACAACGTTGTAATCGAGTCCTATCACAAGACAGGAGGCCATTTTGCTGCCTCTGAACGGCCAGAAGAACTCGTTGAAGATGTGCGGAAGATGTTTGCGAAGGGGGGTCCCGCGTTCGCAATTGTCCCCGGAAAAAGTGGATATGCTTGAACAACCAACATTCGTATGCTACTCAAATGACTCGGACTGAATATTAGGTGAAAGTGTACGAATAGGTAGTGTCATTCAGAATATCGGTATGAAATCGTGCATCCTGTCCCTCGCATCTTGCGCAATACACTCTGCTATCCACGTGATGTTTCGAATTTCCTGTTCCTTCAGCTTCACATAACTGTAGAACACGCCATACTGGAACTGCTGCAGGAAAGCCAGCTTGTTGAGGTGTACCTCCATGCGGAAGAAACGATCCTCCAGCTGTGCAGCTACTCCAAAGTCCCCAAGATCTCCGTTGCTCTGGCCTGATGCCGAGTTGTCGAAAAATGAACGATATTCGCTGACGTTCTCGCACACTTGACGAACTTGATCTATGTCATCCGCTTTGGCGAGAGCATTGTTGCCTGTGGGGAACAATCGCCCAATGGCAGGGAAAAGTTTAGCACGCTGCTCCTTGGTGAGCTCTGTGTCAAAGGAATTGATGGTGATGTTTATCGTTCGTCTGTCAGCTTCGAAGGCGAGAATGTTGTGCATGACATCTACAGTTGTTGAACCAATAGTGGAGACATAGTTGTAGAAATCCTCGAGATACGCTTTGTAGACGGTATTCCTGATGATCTCGATGTTCATGTCATCAAGATCAGCAGCAGAGAGGCAGTCGCGGAAGTAGGGCGCTGATCGTGGTATTTAGTATCTGGGGTTGGGGTCATGCCAGGACAAATACCTAGAGGCGTTTCCACCAATACGCTCTGATAGAGCTCTTCTACGTTGGTTGCCACACATAATGCGGGCATGGTATCGAATATGCCTAGTGGATGACATCGTTCGAGAAGTTCATGCGTATCCCTCTCGTGGAGCGTGCCCGTAATGAGTAGGATGACATTGTCGATCATGTACCCATACCTGTAAACTATGAGCGCATGAACATATAATTGATCGTTACACACGTGATGTAATCCAAAAACTTGCTCAGAGGCTCAACAGAATTGCTGCGAAGAAAATTGAAGTGATCCACGAGAGTCTGTGTTGCCTTGTCTGCTATAGTTGAGGTGGACAGCGGGGATGGCTCGTTCGCGAGGAAGTTTCCATAGTCGGTCGCGGACAGCTGCGTTTTGAAATCTATGTCAAGCGCGCGTGAGCAAAGATTAACTTATTTCTCCTCCCTTCCTGACCTTCCAATGTCTCGCACTGAGTCAAGCTGGCATAGTGAGAATGAGTGAGTATGCCAGATTTGTAGCCTCGGACTATTCCTTCCAGAAATCCGTTGTTCACCTAGAAGGTGCGCTTCCATTAGCTTTAGAGAACGTGTCGGTAGTGTATACCCACGTTGAAAAAGAGACCCTCCATGATGACCCGCTCGTGACGAACTTAGTACTGCGCGACTTGGCACAAGCCGATACTTGAGACGTAAAAGGAAGGTGATTTCCACGATCGTTGGTCTGTACACGCGCCAGCCGGTGCAAGACTCACTAGTGATCCTATTCAACTCCCAGATTAAGTTGTGCAGGTTCATGATTATTCCTTCATCATTTTGTTCATCATAGGGACATACTACTAGCTACACCAGCCAATGTCTTTTTTCGTCCCCTCTGTAAAGCACGTCGACACGTTTAACGGCGCACATTCTTCAACCCTCTTCAGCCGAGAGCGAAGGAACTACAACTTCGGATAACTCGTTTGCAGACTCCGAAGATATGGCATCGGAGTCATCGCTAAAGAAGGGGCCACGCTGTCAAGTCACACAAGTTAGAGACCCTAATGAATAGGGCAGGCGATATCTTCCTCACGTCAAGTTCATGCAGTAGAGTTCCAGTCCTTCTACTGGAAGGACAGGCAGCTCAGGTACCCTGGCCCGGCACATATTTTGTGGTGTGCCGCATGCAGAGATCAAATAGCTCCTGTGAGTGACGTCCTCACGAGTCGAGGGAGGGATGGAGCATTTGAGGCAGAGTGCGCAGCGCTACAGTTCTATACGTAACACGAGCCGTTGTAATGCGCGGAACATCTATGTTTTAGCTATAGTGTCTGAGAGACAAGCCAAGAGTCAGGGATTCCAGGATTACTCGCTTAAAGCATGTGAAGGCTGAGTGGTGCGACAGTTGAAGTGGTAAGGCATGTGGTAGCTGTGATGCGGCGTGGGTGAGGTTTCACGCGGTCGTGACGCAGCATGTGCCATGCTTGATGCGCAGCATGCAAGTGGGCCTTGAAGCTTGAAGTTTGACATGGCATAGGTAAGTATGAAGCTTGAGAGACTGCAATTGCCAACATGGCTTCACAGTGGTTGAAGCTTGACATTGTACTAGTAGTACAGAGTACTGGAGGTTGTATCAGACTTGACAAGATGGGGTCGAGCCTGCTAGACAGTGAGATAATACTTCACATTGCATCTGAAAGACAACATTAGATCAATGATCATAGATACAACACAAACACGAGATGGACACTACATAGTACGAACAAAGAGGACAACTTGAAGCACTGTAAATCTGGTGAGCTTATATAGTTATGTTGAGTGCTAAGTAAGTGCTTGATTTGTGACAGTGCCGCGTCACAGGCGCGTCGCCGTGACGACCATATCACCTGACCCTTATCTATGTATACTCTCAGGTACCACAACCGTGTCCTGACTCTGCCATGGTAGTGAGACTGACCAGAGTTCGTGGAAATGAGCTATGATATCTTTGTTCCATTAACACAGCTTTTCCAATACGCCATCTCGCCCATCAGTTGCGTATGTCGCTGCAACGTATAAGTTCGCGTAGGTGCAGAATGCTATCCTGTGCTTACCAGTCGCGTTCTTACTATGTCTGTATCCGAAAAGAACTACGTGGTTGAGGAGGACCAGCCTGAGATTTCCGTAGAGGATCACAGACTTTTACGCAAGGTCGACTGTAGACTTCTGCCTGTTTTCACTCTGCTTTACCTCCTTAGTTTCCTGGATAGGTTTGTTATCTATCTGACTCTAGCTGCATTGTGAGCTCATAATGTTCCAAAGGTCAAACATCGGGAATGCGAAGTAAGCAAAACTAACATGTACTTGAGTCTTGCACTGCTGATGATTCACATAACATGTAGACTCGATGGAATGACAACTGTGCGGTGGTTTATGCTTTTCGTGATTTGAACCCTGGGCCTGACATGTGATGTTCGTTCTACTTCATAGGATCTCGGCGTATCTCCTGCTAGTTATAACACCGCTTTGGCCATATATTTTGTCGGTTATGTTGTTTTCGAGATCCCTGCCAATGTATGTGCCGCAAATTCCAATTCACTTCTTCAGCTAACCTCATTTCCCATAGATAATGTGATACCAATTTCCATCAATGCTGATCTAGAGGGGAATCTAACTTGTTATCGTCGCTGTGCAGACTGAAGAAATGTAATCCGCAAGTCTGGCTCCCGTCATTGACTCTTGCCTGGGGTATCGTCTCTATTGGCCAGGGTCTTGTCAAGAACCAAGCCGGGTTATTTGGAATCAGATTCTGTATGTTGGCTTGTGTATGTGGACTCTGGAGGTACTGATGCTGATTGCCTGCCTATCGTCAGTACTTGGTGCCACGGAAGCTGGGCTGTTTCCTGGTGTGATATACGTCTTCTCAGTATATTACCTGAGGTAAGAAGCACAATGCTGGACTCTTATGCATACCGGGGCTTATTTGTTTTTGTATTATATAGACGCGAGCGGAGTTGGCGAGTTGCAATTTTCTTCGGTGGTTCGGCATTGGCGGGGGCATTTGGAGGTATGCTAGACATTCTGGATATGGCTGCAGTTCGATTAAATTTCTAAAGGAATATTTGCATATTGCATTGGATTGATGAATGGTGTGGGCGGAAAAAGTGGTTGGCAATGGTATGTTCGTGTTCTCATGCATCACCTCATTGACACAACGTCGAAAAGGATATTCATTCTTGAAGGATTACTGACAGCGGTCGTTTCCCTTATCGCATATTTCATTGTGCCCACTTGGTCTCACAAGGCCAAATTTGTGCGTGTTCTCCTTCTGTTTTGTCACCCAAAAACGTCAACTTTTACAGTTATCTGAAACAGAAAAAACACGCCTGCTAGATAGATTGCGAGCAGATTCTGATGCGGGGACTGACCAAACTTTCAAATGGTCGTCCGTCGGAGATGCTTTTAGCGATCACTTAGTCTGGGCATATGCATTCCTCTTCCATGGATTCTCTTTTGTACTGTACTCGCTCAGCCTTTTCCTGGTACGTTCGTCATCGAAGGAAATTACGAATGATGCCTGACTGTTTGTTCTAGCCTACGATCATTGCGGGACTCGGGTTCGAGACATGGCAGGCTCAACTGTAAGTGCCTTTGATCTCGAAGTTCGATCCAATGTTGATGTAGATTCATACCAAGGATGACTGTCCCCCCGAATGTACTCGCAAGCTTCTCAATATGGACCACAGTATATTTCTCAAGCAAGTACAATGCAAGAGCGCCGTTCATCATAGGAGCTGCAATTGTATCCATCATTGGTGAGAGCATTTGTGCCACGCACTTTAATTATCTCATGAACCTCAAGGATATATCCTTCTCATCACTTGCACGAAACGTAAGTTGCACCAGTCGTTTGGCGCAACGCGTGCTCATACATACAACAGCCGGTCTTCAATATTTTGGAGTGCACCTCGCAGCGGGTGAGTCGCAGAAAATTATTCGAGGCTTTGTCGCTCATATGTCCTGATTTAATACAGCCGGCGTGTATACAGGCAATTCGCTTCTTCTGAGGTCTGTTCAGGTAACTGTAGTTGCGCTCCACTAGCTCATAACATGTCACAGTTGGCCTGGGGAGAACGTTTCTGGTCAGGCTAAACGTGCAGTTGCAGTAGCCCTTCAAATCAGCGTCGGCGATATCGGAGCGATTGCAGGCTGTCTGATCTACAGGCCCACACTGGCCAGTCACCTGTACCGCACACCCAATCTTATAGCCATCGGGTATCTCCTGTTCGCAATCGTAGTGACCACATATTTGTGGGTCATGATGAGTATGGAGAACAAGAGGCGAGATCGTTTATTGTCAAAGGGCGAATCAAAGGATGAAACCGAGGAAGAGAGAATCAGGTTGGGTGATCGTTCTGTGCGCTACAGATACCGAATTTGAGCAGATTGCTACATGTCATCTGAACATCCATTAAACGACTTTCCAGAAGGAATATAACGTAGTGGGTAGTGTGATGCGATGCGATATTAGTATGTGCGTAACGTGCGACGAGCACGCGTATAATGATATAAACATAATGGACAGACTAAAAGCTACGAGGTCACACGGCGCCTCTTGTTAGCGCGTGTTGTCCGTTCCCGATATTCATCATCACCATCATCTTCGGTGAAGTAATCATCTTCCGCTGCGTCTGGGCCATAAAGTTGTTTCCGCTTATCTAGGTCGAGTTTCCGTAGAGAGCGAAGATTGACCATCAATGATTTATGAAACTCGCTCTAAATTTGGACATATATCAGACAAGGGCCAGGTCAAGAGAGGATGAATGACTACCTTTGCAACGCGACGTCTTCCCTCGGAAGGCGCACTCTTCTCGAGACGCTTACGTTTTTCCTTGTACTATGAAACAAAGCTTGACATTTGAAGAGAAGTTAATTGAATAAAAACGGTACCTTTTTCTGTTCCTCGGCTAGCAACACTGACAGATGCTTGACCCACCGTTGTAGATTCGACTCTACCTTCCGCTTCTTTGCCTGCATTGTCATGAGGACGACAACGGCATTTTCGTCATCATCCTCAACGATAGCTTCATCATCAGAATCTGGGATGACATAAGACATGACAGCGGCCGCAGAGCGTCGCGGTCTCCGTTTAGTGGCGCGTGGAGAAACTTGAACCTTCGACGGACCGGCCTGGGTAGATAAACGAGGGATGGTGGGGCTAGTCTCCTTCGACTTCACTTTCACTTTGCTACACCGCTTCGGTTCCGTCGCTGGTGGTTGCTTCGAAAGATAGTCTTCTTCAGAAAAGTAAAACTCGGCGCCGTTCTCAATCTCGTGGTAAAGACACCAGTTCTAGTAGGGGTTCAGAAACAGTCAGCAAAAATTACACCCTACCATCGATTTATGCTAACCGGTGCTTTTCCAAGGCGTGCAAGTAGCCTGAAATGCTTGAGTGTTACAGGTACATGTTGTGATGTTGAAACATAGTTAGTTGAGGGGGTATTGCATGTGAAAAATACATGAAGAAGCTGTGCTATTGTGTCAGAGGGATCATTCCTCAGGGGAATACCGCACCGACCGTAGTGTTATTATTGATCACGGCGTGTGTCAGGAACGTAGCAGCCATCGCACTTCGGACCGGATATCGTTCTTTGACCCATCGACCAACTGGAATGAAGTCTGCGAATTATGAACATTCATGGTTGTATACGCATGAGGTTCCGTCATTACCTGTTGGGTACCCGAGCTTTCCGGTGGTGTCAGATCCAAAGTAGCTAAAATAGAAAGATCGCCTGCGAGAACGTGTGGGAGCCATTTCGTCCTGTCGAATCATAGACGACAATGTGTCTTGACCGATGATCCCCTGCAACGTAGTGAGCAAACGTTTCAACGTTAAAAGCAACGATACACTAACCAATTCTGACGTGTTCCCGGTTTCAGCTTGAACAGGTCCTTCATTCCCACTTTCGTCTTCGTCCATCTCGCGACCATCTGTAGCAATTGCATCCCCCGAAGCGTTCGGCTCTGCCGAATGAAGGCCAGCAGCCCCAGCGCTATTCCGTGCGGCTTTCGAGCTGGTGTTAAAATCCCTACATAGTGGGGCTTCGTATGTAGCGCATGCCTCTTCATCGTCATACGATGGAAGATCGTCCAAATTTATCGCGTAACACTGAACCGCATTTTCTTGCAATACCGCATGAAGATATGGATGGCAGTCAACGAGTTTCTTGAGCGTCTTCCCCTATTTATCAAAGGCGTCAAAATAATGGCCCACCACAATCTTTAGTCCAAACACTCACCTTACTGCCAATCTTAAGGCACTTCACAGCAACTTCTTGAAGGATATCTTTAATATCACTCGAACTGAGATTTATCTCGTCCTTCGCGAAGTCAACAAGAGCTGAATGTTTCTCAACGAATGGATTGGTTAAGATGTCCACAATATCCTTCCTCGTCAACGGGAGTAGACCCAGGGGTTCTAATTTGCTCTTCAGTGTACCTGAGGGGTTTGGCTGGACCAGGACATTATCCGACAAACATGCTGTGAGGAGCATGACGATGCGGACTGTTGGATCTGTACTAGGAAAATCAGCGTATAGATGTCTGAGAACGTTGATGGTATAGGCGGAAGTGATAGAACGAGTGTTGACAAATAACTAAAAACCGAGCTCAAGTCAAGGCCACACAAAGTACATTCTGAATTCACCTTGATCAACTCAGCGACGACGGTGCTATGGGTCAATGAAGTAAGAATGAGAGGTGAATGAACGTCGATCTCAAAAGGTGGTGTACGTACGAGAGATCGAATAGGAGTTCCTTGGTGCGATCGAGGATCTTAAGTGCACGGTAAGCCGACTCATTGCTCTTTGATTCCATGCAGATTTCAGCTGCTACTGTGCGACTCAGGAACATCCTAGGAGGTAAACAGGATCACAAAATGCGAATACGTATCTGAGCATGCAAAAACTATTGTAACAAGACTGCTTGCTCTCACCTAGCATCAAGACGCCGCAGCTCGCGCACATTCCTGAGAATGTCATCGGACCGTTCACCGTTGTTGAGCGCCATCTTCTCAAACATCTTACGGAAGACGAAGTCGCGGTACTATCAAATTCTTTAGTATTCGTGGTGGATGTGTTAAAAGGCAAGATTACCTTGGTGTCCATGTGGAATCCATTGGCTTCAGCATAGGGAAGCAATCTTGGCTCGATAGCGAGAGCAATCGGTAACTGCACCATAAGGGGGTCCTATACGAGGACGCCTTGAGCACACCCAAACTAGTTGTGACGTTCCAGAAACCAACCTTCATGCTGAACGGGATAAACTAAAGCGAATCGTAGGAAACCATACCATTAAGGAAATTGACGCCGCGCACCTTATACTTGCCAAAAATATCTCGTACCGTCTCCCACTTTGTACTCTTCATATCTGGTGGAAGCCTACTCTCCTTTAAAAACACAGCGAAGAAATAACCGTCATCCTCATTCTTTCCCAACGGTACTTCATCGAACAACCCGCAAGCGACCTTCATGAAATGAGCGAAAACGGGAATCGACATGTTGCGAACCCATGCGGTCTTTATGAAATGATTTGCAGACCTAAAATAATGGTGTATGGCGACTTGGACAAGATATCTGGATACATATGCGCCACTACTGATTAGGATCTAGACAAAGGGAGCGCATATAATCAGTTAGGCTCCATGAAGCGCTGAGACACAGCGAGAGAAATAAGTGACAAACGTCGATGACTTTGTCAGACATGATCTTCCCTCTTCCTAAAGCCCAAAACATAGCATCCATGCGACCATAACGGTTGAGAAAGTAGTGGGCTCGAACGTAGGGGTCTTGGGACACATTGTGAAAGTGTTTGGAAGTGAGCGTTAAAGCGGTCGGGTCGTCGAGTTCGTAGAAGATCAATTCGATGACTTCATCTATGCAAATCTCAGGTTATGAGTGAGAAAAAGAATGATCAGAAAACATACCACACAGGCGTTGCATGGCGTGTGGTAGAAGGGTTCTTGACTGCGGTAGGCAGAAGCTTGAACTGCTCAGAAAGAGCACTAGTCGCAAGTTGACTCCGTCCAAGGAACCTAACGACTAGGATTAGGGACTTGACGAGGTTGGCGTTTACGATGATGTGGTTGGGTGTCAAGAGGTGTGCAGCCGGAGAACGCACTTCATCGGACTTCTAAATTCAACCACCACTGCATCTTGAAAGTCAAAAAACCTTGGCCAAAGCGATCACAATGTTCCACAAAATATCGTATCATGAGGTTTAAGCTGTTCAGAGTGAAAAGATGCGTGAAATGGCAACGTTCTACACCGTTACAGGCGCTACATTGTGCTAAGATGCAATGCCGGCATGTCTTTTTAGAAAGTCCTCTTATAGTAACTCCTCCAGACTTGCCACGCTAATCTCCAATCTCGGATCTGCAAGGAGGGGTTAAAGACGTTGAAATTGACCGATTCCAACGTCGATAGAATGGACACCACTGGTATCTAAAAAAATTTCGTTAAACATCATAGTAATCCGAAAAATCCGACGTACAGCAGCGGAAAACACAGGCATGGCGTTCGGTGGGACCCTGCCCCCGGACTCCTTGAACATGTCGCGTGCGGTGAGTAAATGATCATTTGCAACAGTTGCGAGTTCAAACACCGCATCCTCTAGCCCGTGGGACGATTTCCCCTTGCTGAAAATTTCTTGCTGATTGACGTTATGCTTGGCAGTGATCTCCGCGGGTATGACCATAACACCCTTACTAGCATGAAAAGGTAAAGCTCGTATAAGGGTTGTCAATGATTGAGCCACCCCAAGATGCGAGGCTGCGTGCGCAAGCGTGGAGGAGGGAAGTTTCAGCATTTCCAACAGAAGATAGAGGAAAGTTGATGAGGTAGACTCCGCATGTGATGTCATGGACTCCAGAGTAAGGTGTGTCTGGTTATGAAGTTCTTGTTCCTTCGAGTTAGACAACTATAAGGGCCATATTTGAACGCATAAACGACTCGCTTACCCTCGCTTCGATTATTCTGTTAAAGTGATATAGAGACAAATGGTTATCCCGTGTTGCTTCATACATCGCAAGAGCAATAGGATGGCGCGGAGGCTTATCCTATCATTGACAAAGACCATAAGGTGATTGCGGTATTCAAAAAAGTGCCACGCACATTGTGAATATCTTTCATGGCATCTCTCCAGAACATTAGACGTGCCTGACCCAAGGTAGTCTGGGACACCGCCTCTCGCACCGTGGCAAGCTCGATCTAAAGCGCGAGTCAAAGACAGTTAAACACCTGTAAAGCGTCACACGTACATAGAATGCTCTGAGTGCTAGATATCCACCTTGAAATTGTTTAGGGTATAGCTGGGACGTCAAATAACCTTCATAGTCATGTTTCCGTACCAAGTCTTTGCAGTAGTCGGCTGGATTGGTAATAC